CAGGTGGCAGCAAGCCCTGCTTTGCCTCCATCTGGAGCTGTGGGGCCCCAGGTGAGGCAGGCACCCTTCCCCAAGCCCACTGCTCACTTGTGAAGGGGTTAGAAATGCACAGCCCCTCCAGGGGCTGGAGAAGTGATGTCAGGGCCCGCCCAACCTTTGCCTTGCCCAAGAAGGAACCCAGTGTTGGTGGGCCAGACTCTGCTTGCATATGGAAAACGGCCTCTTGCCAGTTTCTGCCGTGGGCTAAGATTTTGTATAGAAACATCATTCTGGAAGAATGTAGAAAAATGAAAACGTATAGTAACTAAGGACTGGAGCTGCATTCTCTCAGAAGTTCAGATTACGTAAGGATCTGAAGAAAACCCAGGCCAAGATGAGAGGGAGGTAGGGACAGAGGAAGAGGGAGTGGATACAAAAATGAACCCCAGCTGGGAAAGAAGGTGGGAAGGACTAGGTGGGATTCCTGGGGCCCAACAACTGTGCCTTTGGAATTTGTGTTCGACTCCTGTCCATCTCAACTTCTTATTTACTGGTCTCCACGTCCATGCCAAGTTCTACACTGGGAGATTCTGACTGAAGCCTTTTTAAAGGCTCTTTTGGCATTGGAATGGTGGCAGTCCCGGGAACGTGGGTGGGTTTGGGGTCATCCCTGCAATTACCCACCAGCTTCAAAGTGGTTCAGCAAACACCTCTCTGTGCCAGGCCCTGAGTCGGGGACAGGTAGGGTCACACAGCCCCTGGGAAGGTCAGAATTCTGGGACGAGGGCAGACTCAGGAATCTGTCAGGGCTGCAACTGTGCCCATGGCCATGATGGGTAGTTTTCTAGGCTTGGGAAGCTGAGTCCTAGCAGACCAGCAGGTGCCTGTGCCCTGGGCACACGGTGTGTTGAGGAGCCTGACATGGGCAGTTGTGAGGGGTGAGGCTGGAAAGGTAGCAGGCCTGGAATGGTGCATGGGAGAGGGCTTGAGGGCCACCCCGAGCCAGCTGTTGAGGCTGGCAAGGGCAGCAGCAGCCCAGTGCAGTCCAGGCCTGACCACAGAGAGCAGAGCGTGGGTGCAATGGTGGACTGGGGAGGGGTCACAGGCCTGTCTGAGGAGCTGGGGGTGGCAGGCAGGTCCTGAGTGTCTGTGCCTTATGCATCCCTCTGTGTGCAGAGCCACAGCAGCGTGCCCTGCCTGGCTTATACAGGTTGTGGACCACACACCCTGCGATGCTCCCCTTGGGTTGGCCTGGGTTGCCTGTGGGTTTCGGCAGCCCAAGTCTATAGCCTGGCTGTATCCCCAGTGCCTGGGCGCCCTGTGGCAGCTTATCTCCCACTGAACCTCTGGTGTTTCTTCCAAAGGTCTCTATAAAATATTCACAAATTAGCCGGATGTGGTGATGAGTGCCTGTAGTCCCAGCTACTCGGGAGGTTGAGGCAGAGAATCTCTTCAATGCAGGAGGTGGAGGTTGCAATGAGGCATAATCACACCACTGCACTCCAGTCTGAGTGATAGAGCACAAGACTCTGTCTCACAAAAAAAAGAAAAAAGAAAAAAGAGCATGCCTATCATAGCAGGTGTGCAGGGGAGACCCAGGTAAGGCCATTACCAGGGCTTGGTGTCTAAGTACTAAGGTCGTTGTTATTTTACCAAAAGCTAAAAACAACAGTGGTCTGGAGGGTCACTCCTGAAATTACCAGCATCCTCAGGCCAGGCTTGCTCCACTGAATTCCGCTAACATAAGCCACCTCCCAAGCCTCTGCCATGGGCGCAGGGCCAGGCCCTTCTGCTGTTGCTCATCAGGTGATTCTAGTTATTACCACTCACAGATGGGAAAACTGAGGTGCTGAGGTACTTCCTATCTTTCTCAAAGCTGGTGAACACTGGAGTGCAGTCAAACCCAGGGCCGACTCCACAACACGGATGTTGCTGTGGCCTCTGCTCTGCCCGTCACTCATCATGTGATGAGGACACATCCTTTCACTTCTGGGTCACGTTTCCTCACAGGGGTGGGGTGCTGACAGGAAATGAACAAAGGCATCAACCGACACTTCCCAGAAAAGTAATACAACCTCTTACGGAAGTAAGAAATCATGCTTAGCTTCACTTAATTACAGAGGCTCATTCCAAAGTGACAGTGTTTTTTTTTTTACTCATCAGTTTGGCCAAGATTAAAAAAAAAAATGCAGTGTGAGGATGCAGAGAAATGGTGACTTTCATAGGCTATTTTTGAGCATGAGAAACTGGTATGACCTTTAGGAAGGTAGTTACTCAAGATCTACTAATATTTTAAATGGATACAGACATTAAATGCTGAGGTAGGAGAATTTATCCTAACAGTTTACAGTCACTTGCACATAAACCCTACTTACTCATTGTCACAGGAAAACTGTGTTTGCTTTAAAAAATTAAATGAAGTTTGCACGCAGCCTAAATGCCCAGCAGAAGAGGAATTGGTTAAATAAAATACCAAGGTCATTCATATATTAATACAATTCTTACTATGCAGTCCTGGGAAGAATGGGCTAGTCTATATATGGTGTTGAGGTATCATGTTTAAGAGATATTCTGATGGAAAAGAACAAGATGAACTAAAATACATCAAATACATTTTATTATGCAAAATAAGAAATATTTGTATTGGCAAATTTACTTCTGGAAGGATTATTCTCGAGAAATAAAGCAATTGCTTTTGCGGTAGGGAGAAGGTGTCTTTCTCCTATTTTTAACTCTTTGTTCACTGTTAACTTTACTGTTTGTTTGGTTTTGTGTTTACGGCATGCTTGCTGGCCCTTTGCATGTCCTCAGTTACTGGAAGACGGTTTGGCTGCGGCCTCACACAGGCACTTGAGTCATAGAAGAGGCATGCTCCAACCTCTCACCCGCACTGAGGGGCCTTTTCCTAAGCATTGCAGAGGGGTTCATTTGTTCCCACCGCAAGTGCGTAGAATGCCTTGTACTTCCCACCCCTTTGCTCTCCAGGGAGCTCTGCAAGTCCCCAGAAATACTTGCCTAACTACAGGCACCCTTGGAAAGGTCCAGCTGCTGACTGCAAGCACCATGTGACTCCCAGTGCCAGTGACATCTGGAGGAATTGAGCAATGGCTGAGGTGGAATTTCATTTGATACTTAATGGAATCCTCTGCTTCTGCCAGAGGTGGTGAATTCTATATAAAGCTGCCAAACCTGGCCGTGTCTCCTCACTGAGCCTTGACCCCTTCCATCCAAGGTCAAGGTAAACAAATTGCTGTGCATGACTCACGCATAGTAACTGTGGCTTTGGGACTTAGTCCACCTGAGCAGAGCAAGCCTGCCTGGAGGAAGTGGGTCCTCTCCACTCTAACCTCTGGATCTAATGAGCAGCTACATAAACTGAGACAGGATATAGACACATCCTGCCTGAGTTAGCAGCAAGAAATAGCTGCCTCCCCCCACCCCCCTGCAGTTCCCACACAGCAGGGATCCTGCCATAAATCAATCGGAAGTCTAATGTGTAATAGCACGCCAGCAAGGGCTGCACCGCTGTATGTCTCCCAAGGTAAGTGTTGAAGGTCAGAAACCTGAGTCCTGGAGAACTGCTTGTGGGGCTAGGCTTGGCTGGGCACGGGGCGGGGGTCTAGCAAACCCATCCTCTTCAGACATGGGGATGTCTTTCAGTCTCACCTCCTCAGTGCCTAAATTGGAATAAGGACAGTGGCTTCTGTCCCTTTAACCCAGGCCCCGCCATATACACACACACAAATACATGCTCAAGTTAGACACATACGCAAACACACTAAAGCATGTGAACTCTGGAAACCACGTACAATTATATGAAGATGCCCGGCCTGGATCCAGCACTTAGGGTGTGTCCGTCTCTGTGTGGAGCCATTTATACACACTTCTTACTGCTAAGATGAGGACTCTCCTGGTATTATTCCTAATTTGCAGATGAGTAATCTGGAGCTAAGAGAGACTGCCTTGCTAAGAGGCAGTGCAGATGATCCCAGTGCACACTCAGGGGCCTTACTCCCAAGCACCTTTGATGTTCCTCACTCCCAGGCTGGCCCAAGCAGAACCATGGGCACACGCAGTGCTGCGTACACAAGTAGACTGAAGCCACGTTTATCCATGCCAAGCTCCGGCAGGGTGAGGGATGAGGCCTCACAGCCCTCTGGATTTCAAAGACTTCTAAGAGAGTTGGTGTCTCCAATACCCATATCGTTATCATGTTAGTAAGGTAACGTTATCACATGATAGGCTCAGGATAGCTCCTCTCTGACAGACTCTCAGGATCGGACGCCAGGATGAGGGATAACAGGGGCATGCATTCGGCTTTTTGGTTAAATAAAATGGTAGTTTTTATTGCAAAAGCCCAGTGGCAGAGGAAAAGGGCAGAGAGAGGCCCAGCAATGTTTCCAAGCACCTATAAAAACTTTCATCGCATTGGATTTCCCGTCAGCAAGAAAACGTGACGGTTTAAAAGAGAAAGAAAACAAGCAGCGAGGAATTACAAATCCCCAAAGGATTCAGGCCCGCGACTCTCCCGCGTTTGTGTGCCCCTGCGGCGCCCAGCGGAGCCAGCACGTCCCTGGGCAAGGCTGGAGTTGCCTGAAATTCACCCGGGCCCGCCCGCCAGCCTCAGGCTGGGCAGAAGCACAGACACAACTTGTGGACTCTTTCCTAACTGTTCTTTAGGGGGACGATTCTGGCCCTTGACACTTCACATGCCACGCACAAAGAAACACAAAGCCGGCGACGCGCCCTGGGCGAGCGGGCTGGCGGCCTCTCCAGCTCCGGGCGCGTGGACGCTGCGCGACGGTGTCCGGGACGCGGGACAGGGACAAGGCGCAGCCCAGGCGCCGGGAACAGGGGGCTGGAGTCGGGGATCTGAGCCCCGCGGGCGCCTCCTCCGCCGAGAGGCCGGGCACGGATCGGGACACCCGGGCGTACGTGGCAGCGGCTTGGCCCCCGGCTGCTTGCTGCGGGCCGCGGCCTCCCGCGGGCCCCCAGGACCCCTCCCCACGGCGGGTACTCACCGAGGTCGAGGGGCGGCGCCGTGCGGTTGGGGCTGCTCATGGCCCACGGTCCTGGGCGTCAGACCGGGCAGACGCAGCGGAGACCCGCCGGGCCGGGCCGAGGGAGGGTCGCGCTCCCGGGCTCCTGACCCTCAGCGGCTAGAGGAAGCGGCCACTTGGGTCACACGCCTCCCGCGAGGGCTGAGGGGAGGGGCTCTGGCCCGGAGATAGGCAGACTTCATTTATTTTTTTTCTGCAGACTTGGCTGGTGGGGTTTCCACCCTTTTTTTTTTTTTTAAACACACACCCGCCCACTTCTGAACTCTTCTGTACTCCAACTTTCCTGCGCAAGAACCACGCTTTTCTAACCGTTTCTCTTTCCATCTGCCACTACCGGATACAGAGGTTGTGGTTGAGAAGTCCCCCTGGAGTGCAAGGAAAACTCCCTGATGTGAAATGATGGCCTGGCCCAACACTGTCGGGGATGGTGACCAAATAGGGCAGAACTGTGTTGAAATCTTGGCTGGCTGCGCCGCCGCTGGATAGCTGGGTGGCCTCTCTGAGCCTGCCGCGGGGCATTTGTCCCTGGGGAGAGTCCCTGTCTTGTTGGCCTTTGCGAGCCCTGTACCCATGGATGGCCTGTTTAGCAAAGATTATTCCAAAACAGGAAGAATTGCTGGGCAAGTGTCAGGTGATTTGTTCCCATTGCCTTTGTCTGAAGCTGCCAGAAGTAGTGGAGTTTGTGAATTTGTTCTACTTTTGACATGAAAACCTCCACATGGATTTCCATACATACCTTGGTTCGTTAAATGCAAGTCAACTGTCACCACCTACAAAGAATGTATCATAGCATTATCTGCCCATTTTGCCCAGGAATTTGAGGCCCTTGTTTTAAAACCCCGCCCAGGGGAACACCCTGTACTTCTCCTGTGTGACGTCTGAACCGTCCTGTGCTGCTTTTCATTGTTTACTTCATAGTTTCCCAAGCACTTCTGTGACTCCCTCCTCTCCTCTACCTTCTGCCATTAAGGCCTGTCCTGCACAATCTAGAGAGCCAGGCCAGCTGTCTGTACAATGTGTGAGCAGTGCCTTTGGGGCTGTGCTCTGTGTTGAATACGATGAGAGGCTGACCCCTAGAGATGTGCAGCGCAGAAGCTTTGCTCCCCTCTACGTGGGCTGCACAAGCTCCAGGCCTTCTTGCTGCAGTGGGAAAGCACTCACAATTCTCTTCTGTTAGGTCGTGAAGAACCCCCACTGCTTACAGATCTTTAGTCAAACTGCCATGTGCAGCACGGGCATGCTGATCTGAAGTAAACTACTCACAGAATGCCTTCGGCCTGGTGGGGAAGCCCTGAATCTTGATTTCCTCATGCATAAAATGGAGGCAAGATCACCTGCATGCCAGGGTTTTACAGAGGCAGTGATGGTAGAATCCCAGTGGGAACAGAAAAGGCATTTAATAAACTAACGAGCAACGATGACTTTAACAGTTTCATTTTTTTTTTTTGGTAATAGATACAATAATGTCTAGGTGGGACAATAGTCCTCCTCCCCTTCCTTCTAACTTTCCAATTGCATTTCACATAATTAAAGTTGTGAAATGTTATTTTCACAAATAATTAAAGTTATTTTCTCTTTAATTATGTGAAATGCAACTGGAGAATTGGACAGAGGCAGAAACTCCTTCCAGGTAACCAAAGAACAAGTCATTAGGTCCTTGCAGCATGCTTATAGAACCTACTGGCCTTAGACATGATTTAGAACCTACTAGCCTTAGACATAATCATAAGAGATTTCCTTAATTTCTTAGGGTAGGACAGACTGAAGGCATCAAAATGTTGTAGAAAATTCCTTACAGAAAGGAAGCCAAAAAATTAATAAACTAAACAGCGAAAGTGGAGAGCCCCACACACTACAAAAGTCAGATACAAGAATAAAGTAGCATTTGTTCCAGAACTAAAGCATTCTCAGCTCCAACTTTCACTGGAGGATGTGGCAGTTCCTTGCACTATTAAAGAGCAAGGGCTCTGGAAATCAATCTTCATTAGTTACTGCGTACGAGCTGGGTAGTCTTTAGCAATTTACTTTCTTTCTCTAAGCCTCAATTTTCTTATCCTGGAAATTAGAGCAATCTACAAAGTTAGGCTGTTGTAAGTAAGATATTTGATAATAATTAGTGAGACAATTACAATGAGAGCACACTGGAGTTACTTAAAGATGTTGGCCCCCTTCTTCCTCTAACACATACTTTGTTTATAGTAAGGACCCCAGATCATTTGAAAAAGAAAGTAAATAGTGTTTCATAGTGTGTAACAAATTAGAAACATTTGATATATTTCAGAAAATTTAACTGTGGAAGTTCCTAATGTTAACTAAATGACTATTATATTAAGAAGAAAAAATAATTATATGAAAAATTTGATTATATGTTAACAGTCTGATATTAAGTCAAGAAATGCACTGTTAGTGTGTCTTCATGTGCTGGAAATTTTTTCATGAAGTTAAAAAAAACTCAGTTATATCTTGCAACAATAAACTAGTTCTTATCTCAACGAATTCCCATAAATACTCTTAAAGGGAGTATTGCCAAGAGTCCATTGTGAAGCTGAGAACCCAGAGGTTCAGAGCAGTGACAAGAACTTTCTCTGCAGTGCAGCCGGCATTGACAGTTCTAGCTGTCTCTTCATTGACTGCTGTGCCATCCAAGGTATGAGATGCTGTGATCCAGTCCTGAAGGTGAATTTTCTCTTTCTCTCCAGGGAAGAAACTGCCCATGGGAAACTGCCCTCCGAATCCTCAGTGCTGGTCCCTTATTGGGAGCAAAGTTGGAGGTCTCTTGCTGCTGTTGCTGTCTCCTGGGTGAGCCCCTACAGACTGAATGGGTAGATGTTACTTGGGCCCTTTAATGAAAGGTTTTGCCCCTCATCACAGTAACCCATGCTCTTTGTGAAAAAAAAAAAAAAAACAATTAAATAGAGAAAACACCAAAAAGATACCTAAACCCTAAGAATTGCTTGCAATCTCTAGCACATTAAAGTTATTTACCTTTAGCCCTTTTTATGCATTTACGAATATTTGCTTTATACTCTTGAGATTTTACTGAATATGTGATTTCAAGTGCTGAGCTTTTACGACCAAACATTATGTCATGAACATTTTCTAATATAAAAGTAGAAAAGCTGTTTAATTCATTTTAATTACTAGGTTGTTTCATTTTCTTTGCTAGTTGAATAGTGCTGTGATAAACCATATGAACATAAATATCTGGATTTCATAATTTTGTCCTTACTGTATATTCTGGCAAGCAGAATTACTCAATCAAAGGTTAGGAGTACAGTTAAAGCTTTTGATACATTCATAAGTTGTGGCTATAACCTTTACTTCTTCCAAATCAAGAGTACCAGTGCTTATCTCAGAGTTTCTTGCCAGAATTAAACAGTAAATTTAAAATCATAGTTAATTCTGCACATGAGAAACATACGTCGTTATTTGTGTTAGCATATTCTTTGATTACCAGAAAGGCTGAACATGCTGTCACATGCTTATTTACAAATCTCAGGTTCTTTTAGGTTAATATTTTGTTCACACTGTTTCCTCATTTGGAGGTGTGATGGTTAATACAGAGTGTCAACTTGAGGAGATTGAGGGATGCAAAGTATTAATCCTGGTGTGTCTGTGTGAGTGTTGCCAAAAGAGATTAACATTTGAATTACTGAGCTGGAGAAGGCAAATCCATCCTTAATCTGGTGGGCAAAATCTAATTAGCTTCCAGGGAATATAAAGCAGGCAGAAAAACGTGAAAAGGAGAGCTGGGCCTAGCCTCCGAGACTACGTCTTTCTCTCATGCCTGATGTTTCCTGCCCTGAAACACTGGACTCCGAGTTCTTCAGTTTTGGGACTTGGATCAGCTCTCCTTGCTCCTCAGCTTGAAGACAGCCTATTGTGGGACTTTGTGATCATGTAAGTTAATGCTTAATAAGCTCCACTTTATATAGGATGTATATCATATATATATATAGAGAGATATATATAGAACTATTTTATTAGTTCTGTCCTTGTATATATAATATATATATATATATATACACACACATATATACACACATATATATGTGTACATATATATACATATGTGTGTATATGTGTATGCATATATATATATCATATATATATCATATATATATGCACACACATATATATATCCTATTAGTTCTGTCCCTCTAAAGGGACCAGGACTAATAAAGATTTTGGTACCAGGAGTGGTTCTAGAGGAACAGAATATTAAAGATGGAATTCTTTCATTGGTTTTGGGGTTTCTGGAGTTGGCTGCTTAATATGATTCGACCCCAAAATGCTAAGGACTCTACTTCTAATAGTATGGAGAACACTGATCATCCTTGGAGTGAACTGTTTAGAGAGCTGTGTAAAATAAGTGCATTTGACACTCCTAATTCACCATTCATGAGAGGCAAGAAGTTTAGTGACTCTATACATAATGTGGAGAACCAGGGAACATAACGAAGCTGGTTGGTTGCTCCTAAGTTCAGGGACAAAGTGATGAAAGAAAATGATGAACTCAGGGATTCTGTCTCCTGGTTTCAGAAGCAGATACTGAGCCTCAAATCTGCTAAGATTGCCCTGAGTGAGAGTCTTATCTTCTGTAGTGAAATAACTGAAACAGTGGAAAACAGACACAAGCTCTTATCATGCCAGTGGCTGACCTGCAATGAAAGATGCATGCACAGCCTCACCAGGTGTCTACTGTTATAGAGGGGGAATTGATTGGAAAATAATGGGATTCTCCAACTTGGAATGGGGACATGTGGGAAGACACTGATGAAGCTGGGGACACTGAGTAAACGCTGATGAAACTTTTTTGCCAGAAGGAACAGCTTCCCCATCCCCAGTAGTGGCAACATTCCCTCCCTGACCCATGCTACCATCAACCTTTCCATTTTTGTCTGAAGATATAAACCCTAGGCTACCTGAGGCAACAGTGATGGCCTTCCCTGAAGCAGTTGCCAGGAAAAATAATGTTGATTTTTCCTCAGAAGCCACCCCCAACACCTTTGTTTGATTCTAGACCCATAACTAAAGACTTGGGAGGCCCCTAGAGGTGAGGTTGAGAGTGTGATCCACGAGGAGGTGCACTATATTTGAAAACAACTGTTTTGAGTTTTCTGATTTATATATACAGCAATCTGGAGAACAGGCATGAGAATGGATATTTAGGGTGTGGGTTAATGGTGGAAGAAACATTGAGTCAGATCAGACTGAATTTATTGATTTTGGCCCACTAAGTAGGGAATTTGCATTTAATGGTGCAGCTTGGGGAGTTAAAAAGAAGTTCTAATAGTTTATTGGCTTGGTTATCTGAAATACAGATTAAAAGATGGCCCACTGTGAGTGAGTTGGAAATGCCTGATCTCCCTTGGTTTAATGTACAGGAAGGGATCC